TCTCTTCACATTCTAATGATATAAATTCAGCATTTCCCTTTGCAGGATATACGCAGTGCTACATTCATTAAAACATAATGAAAGCATGCTCTAGGACTGGGGAATGACAGACTCTTTGCCAGCTCTAGTGGAACAGAATTTGGAACGTCAGCAAAGCAACATGAGTGCAAGGTGCTATCTGCAGAGGTGCCGAGCTCTGACCAGCTGCTGGCTTTAAAAGCAGTTATCAGCACTAAGAACCTCTTGCAGTCAAGCCAAAGACAGATGAGAAACCTCAGCCCAGGTTAACAAGCCCATTCATGCCAGCAACGTATCCCGGCCCCTTCACCTGCCATTCCTGAAGACCCTCAAAACTCTGGAACAAAACTGAGTTTGTGCTTAGGATCCCCCCTTTTTGCTCAGAAAAAAAGCACTTTCATGTTGTGCTTAAGTGTAATCCTGTGCTTGACTTTGTGGGATTTCAAGAGGATGCGAGTACGTGCTTAGTGCTTTCCTGAATAAAAGCCCAGATGGAGCAGCAGCTCACTGCCAGCTCTTGGCAGCTGCAAACCAGTCCCCAGGGCTAACGCAGGAGACGCTGGCAGAGGGCAGCAGGTTTCCCTCCCCGCTCTGCTGCAAGGACTCGGAGCCTCCAGCACCCGCGCTGGGGAGGTGGACCTGGACCTGACCTGCCTCTGCCTCTCACCAAGGTTATGAACTGGTCCAGGCCAAGTAGCAGCCAGGGTGCGGCAGGAGCAAGCCGGGGACCGAAACCCTGGCGAGAAGGGGAGCAACCCCCTGTGACAGGAGAGACCTCCCCATGCAGCCGGGGGCTCCCCCAATCCTTCCCCGGCCGCGTTTCTGAGCCCCTTCTGCTCCCTCTGCAAAGTCACTTCTGAGTCTGGTAGAAGTCATGTGCATGGAAATGGTGGGGATCGGAAAGGAGAATGCACTACCCAGTAATTTTAGTGTCAGTTAAGGATCCTTTCTTTTATATATATATAAAAACCCCTTTTATATGTGTATATATATGTGTGTGTGTCACTTATAAGCACAAAACATCTTGCAATATTGCAAATATACAGGAACACCTTCACCCACTGCTGGAAGTGCAAATGCCTCCGAGGTTTAACACAACTGCTGGTCAGTCCCCAGCACCGCTACGGGACAATTCGGGACAATTCAGGGACTGAAAGGAGCACACCACACACACACAGCTGCAAGGGCAGGCAGAAACCACGCTAGAGCCTGGCTCGGACAGGAGTTTTAAAAGCCCAGTTGCTATTAAGGATGTTGCAGTAGGTTTTTACAACCCATCGTGAGAAGTGCTGTTGAAAATGTCCCAGAGCACGCAGGAGCCGCTGGCAAACCTTGTGCCAGACCTTGGCTCCAGGCCCCGCTGCCGTTCCAGCAGGCTGGCACGGGGAAAGACAAGTCCAACACACTGCATGTCTCTCCCTGAAGCTTCACACTGTCCTGCCTGCCTGTTAATCCCATTCAAATAATTCTACAAATCAATCTAGGTCAAAAAGGAAAGTCACAGTTTCAAGTAAAAAAAAAAAAAAAACAAAAATTAAAAACCCAGCTGACAGTAGCCACTGCATCTTCTGCTGAAAGATCTCACGGAGATCAACACCCATGCGAATGACGACGTCTATAGAATCAAGCAACTTCTCAGGGAAAGAAAGCAAAACCAAGAACAGACCCTCAAAGCAAGTTGATGCACCAGTCAGTATTTCTCTGCGCGGCATAAGAAAACCAGACCAAAAACTTCTAAGAGGAAGAACTGGGGATGGGTTTGAAAGTGCTACCAAAGCATCATCAGACAGAAGTGCTGAACAGCAAAGTATGTGGAACCTGAGACATCCAGAGCTGGCTATGGACCAGGCTAAGCACACTGTGCTTTTCCTCTTCCAAAGAAAACCTCAAGATTTAAACTCTATTTAAATGCAACTCACTGAAAGCAGAAGGGAGTGTCCCCACTGGTGGTTATTGGTATTTACTAGTCCTACACAGCGCACTTAGTGCCTGCGAAACTGTTCTCCGCCTTTTCCACAATGTGTTTTCCTCCTTTAATCTGGTTCCTTTCCCATTAAGGCTACAGCCTTTTCTTTTCAAACGGATAAAATACATGCACAAGTGGCAGCACCTATATGAACTGAACAGTAAGGTTGTCAGATAGTACCACGCAGAGCCTCGGTTAGCAGAGCTGGTTCGGTTTGGCTTGGCTTTGCTCTGGTCCAGGGGGAGGTGGCAGGGAGGAGGGGAGGTGATGGTTTGCTTCTACAAGCACTTGTCCCCGCAGAGAGGTGCATCCCCGGGGAGCAGCTGCAGCCTCAGGCAGGCGGCCTTGGGAATCCCCCCTGCAGCAGCTGCCCGGGGCTGCTTCTGGTTGTGCAATTCTGCATGCATCTCCTAAAATTCGCTGTCAGATACTTTTGTGCCCCTCAGAGCTCCAGCTGTGTAAAGTTAACTTTGGAACTCAAAGTTCTGTTTTCATTAGGAATCATGAACTCAAAGAATTGCTTTCACTTGAGATTGAGAACCTTATTTCACGGGGGGGTTGCAAAGGTCACAGATTGTGGTAAGGGGGAGGAGGGAGCATCTCTGCAGCATTGCAGTGTATCTTTCAAAAAACTGATAAGGAAAATCTATGAGCAATGTGAAATTCATGGACAGACTTCAATAAGCTTTAGACAAAGTTCCGTAAAAGAGCAAAAGGATTTCTTGGCATGTTGAGAGAGGTATTTTTTGGAAAAGGGCATTACAGGGAAGTCACCTTGCAGAATTCATAATCCTCATCTTTCAAAACAAACAAAAGCATATTCAAAAGCAAAGGGACAGATTCTGCAAGGGGTGGAGCAGCCTAATGCCATCCAAATCACTGGAGTTTTATGTATTTGCTTGCCTGGTGATCCAACCCATAGGGTAAAGCAGAGCCCACAGGGTAAATTCACTCTGAGTACCAGTTCTGGTATTTAGATATACTACAGCTTTAGCTTTGGTTAATCTTTTCCAGGCCTGTGCTCAGAGTTTCAGGCAGGGAAAAAGCAGGGAGGCCGCATAAACCATTTCCTGAGCTGCCGAGAGAGGACGGGTCGGCCCCAGTCACCGGCTCTGCTCCTCGGGGACTGGTTCAGACGCCCTCCTCTTGTGCCAGAAACTACGTAAGCACGGAATAAGAGGCTGCATCTGCCCTAAAAGTTTTGCAGTGTGGGTAGTGAGCTGGAGGGGGAAGGCAGCAGGGGGGAGGCTGGTGAGCTGCTGCAGCCCTCACCGCCCCCTTGCTGGGAAGAACCGCCCGGGCAGTGCCGTGGGGGAAGTTTTGCCCCCTTGTCTCCAAACAGAGAAGAGCAACAGCAAACGACGGGGTGACGGAACTGCCCCGGGGACAAGCAAACATGTAAATTTGCCCTGACCATCTACCCTTCCAAAAAACAAACACAAAAACCCCTGTTTCCCCACCGAGAGCTGCAAATAAAGCATGGAGGCACGCAAACCGTGCGGGGGGTCCGTCCTGCTTCCCCTCTGCCCATAGAGGAGCCGGCAGGCGAGCTGGGAGGGGGGGATGGACAGCACCCGCCCGGCACCCATCAGCAGCAGCACGCACGGGTGCCCGTGGGGCGAGACCGCACGGCACCACGGAGGGGACATGGCCCCCGGCCGCACGCGTGTGCCAGGCAGTTGGAGACGATCTCCTCCCGCGGCACAGAGGGAGGGGCGCGGGGCATTTGCTGGCAAGGGGTTCACCCGGTGGGAAGGTGGCTGGGTCCCTGTCGGGGCAGAGATCGTGGCAAGGTGAGAGCTTCATCCCGGTGCAGAGGTGCAGCCGGGAGGCGAGGGTACCTCACTGCCCACGGCCGGGGCGTGCATTTTCCCACGAGATGTTGAAGAGTTTTCCCTTTGTTGAAACAAAAATTCTCTGCAAAGAAGAAAAGGATAAAAGTGTCAGAGACTGTGTGGAAGGAGAATATCCTCACTCCTGCAGTGATGGCTATGAAACACCAGTCCCAGGGAGGGAGCTGAAGCCGCAGCAGTGCCCATCCCCGAGACACCAAGCCACCCACCACCCCTGGTCCGGGAGAGGAGGAAACTCAGTGAGGGCCTAAAAATCACGGCTTTTTCAGACCCATGCTTTCGGAAATGGAAATTCCTCTCATTTTAAGTTTTATGGGCTCTTCTGCTCAGCTAGGAACTTCCTAATGAAAACCCTGATTTCATGACATAGAAAGACTCCAGGAACTGGAGCCTGTCAGAAAACCAGTAAATAAATTCCTCATGGCTTAAAAATGCCTCCTGCCTGAAAGCACCCACTCGTGCTGGTGGCCCCACGCACGGGCAAAAGCTGTGCCGCCGGACAGAAAGTCCCCCAGCCGCCGAGAGCCCAGGCTAATCGTGCTGCACTCCCTTCGCCTCCGCTCATAAAATCCACCTCGTAAATTGACTGTTTCCATCTGGTTTTTGGAAGGGGCAGGGACACCTGCTCTGCTTTTCCACCCCCAGTGCACAGAGCAAAGCACAGCAAACTTCATCCTCCCTGCGGAGATGGGCGCAAGCGTTTCACGAAGTGGTTAACTGGGAAAAAATGAAACCTACTGGGCTGTGGCAAATCGTCCCTGAGAGCAGGTGGCAGAAGCGCTGTGGGAGCACCTAAAAGTACTCCAAAAGGAACATGTAAAGCTACACACCGGCACCGACGAGCACAGACCTATCTGTCATTAACCTCTACAGTTTTTCTCACTCAGTGCTGCCCTCATCTCGCAAAAGCGTTTAGGATGCTTTAAGATATATTATTGATCACATATTTAATAATAAACAGTGCAATTAGCCAACGTTAGCTATGCACACTTGACCACAGAGGAGGTAAGTCATTTTGCACAACACCGTATTACAAACACTCACCTTTTACAAGTTCATGACTACTTCTTCCTGCTAGTGGCTCTAAATGACAAACAGAATATGGGTTGAGTTGCAAATGAAGGGGCAAGAAGTCATGAAATGACTTTCCCCCTTCCCCTCCCTCACTGACTGCCCTTCGCGGGCTCTGCCTCCTGCTCCGCAGCCCCCGCAAACCCTGGACCCCGCTGCGCCACCAGCGCTGCGTGCCTGCAGCCGGGCAGGGCAGGATGTGGCCATGCAGCATCCCGCCTGGCGAGAGCCGCTGGCACCTACCGTGCTGGAGCTGCCGTGGCTGAGCTTGTCAAAGCGAAACTTCAGGTTTGACCTTGGAGAGTTTCTGTTCTTTATATCTGCTGGAGGGAGGGGAAAAGCAAAGAAGAAAAATAATAATCTGTGAACAAAAATATTTGCTGAAGCGGTAGTGCCGACTGCCGCTCGACCAGCCTGACAGCCAGGCACTTCAATAGACTGTCACGAGTGCTACCAATATTTAGTCTATCTTGGCTGAATGTTTGGCAAAATCTGCACATTAAATGTTTTTGATGGAACAAGTTGAGGCTTAATTACATTTCACAGTCTTTCTACTGGAAATGCCACTGAAAAGGCTACAAGAAATGACTGATCCGTATAATGTATGGGTGGATTTCCATGTTCTTGGCAGGAAAAATACAAAATAAACACTTTAAACGTTAAAAGGGGCTGGTTTAATAGTTCAGAAAATCACTAATGAAATAAGATGGAGGACCTGTGGGGTGCTGAGATACAAAAAGGCAGCCAGCCTGCACTCTGCAGCCCAGCTTCCCCCTGCGCTGTTCCCAATTATGGAGCTGTTCAGGGTGGATTTGTGCCTCGCTGGCTGTTTTGCAAACAGCTCCTAAGTTCATAACGTGCATTTTCATTTGGATCGTGGCGCCTTCCGACAGGCATGCTGCTGCACGAGGAAATTAAAGCCGCGGGGATCTGCGGGCGAGGGGCGAGCGCTGCAGACATCCCTCAGCCCCGGCACTGCCGCGCCGTCACCAGTGCTGTCACCGCAGGATGCACCAGCAAAGGGCCATTTCTGCCAATTTCACCCTGTTGAATTGCACCTCATTCTGCAAATCGTCCGACTGAAACGGATGAAGTTGGTGGCAGAGTGAGTTAGCAGCAGGGGTAATGGAGCCAAGACCAAGGGAAGCTGCTTGTTTATTAAATAATTTGTGAGTCATGGCTCGGTCCTTGGAGACAGTGAGTTTCCACGACTACTGCACATGTCTGTGAGGGGAGAAGGGAGGAAACAAAGCCACAGCAAAAGCCACCTCTGTGCTCTAGTTTAGAAGGGAAACAAATTCCCCATAGAAATACAGAAGTAAAGCACATGGGGCCGCCTCTCCAGAACAGCCCCGTTGGGATCGGGGTTTCGGGAGGAGTGAGGGCTTGCCCTGCATCCCGCGGGATGCCCATCCTGCCAGGGTGAGCACGGCCGCTGCTGCGAGCCGCCAC